TGTCTTCCAATTTAAATGTTCTAAAAAATTAAGTTTTTTTTTTGTAGTTTTAGTAGAGTCTAATCCATTGTATGAGGTTCAAATATCATAGAAAGATAAAATAAAGCAAGCATTCTGTTAATTCTACTTCTTTCCAATGAAAACAGCCTTTGTGTATTTTTCAAACATCTTCCAAGACCCCGCCATGTATGGGTAAATACATATGTTATATGTAATGTTTTGCCAGCTATTTGATAATAAGATTATGGGTGATCTTCTTTATTAAATAAAATGAATCTAAATACAACTATAGTTTGACATATCTTTTAATAATCATTCAGGAGTTTTCTTTGTTTCAATTCTTTTTCTTCTTAACTTTTTCAGCTGCATTCTTATAAAGGAAATTGGTCAAATGAGGGGTATGCACATTTCCTTTTAAGGACAGTGTGCCACGGTACATCTTGGAAAGTCTGCTTTTCCAGTCACAGTGTGAGCCTTGCTCATGCCACTTTGGCAATCAGTGAATAATATTCATTTTCTTTACGTTTGCAGTCTCATAGACAAGAGATAGTTCATTTTTAAATGTTCAGTCTTTGATTGGATCATTAATTAGATACCAATGCCATATGCAGCATTAATATCTTATATATTCGATACCTTGTAGTCCAGGTTTGAGATATTTTACTTCCTAGTCTAGTCATTTGTACCCCATATATTTCCCTGAAGCTTGTACTGTTTCCTGCTGTCTCTAGGCTAGTGCAGCTCAGGTTACAAATCCTCAGGCCATGCTTGCAAACTCCCTATCTCACGTTTCATATCTAAGCCCTTGCTCCAGACCAGTTCCCATTCCATCAGACACAGCCATCTGGCTACCTGTCTCCATCTCAGTGGTATCTCTGATGACTCAGCCCATCATCTCTTGCCTGGCTCATTGCTACAGCTCAAACAACAGTCTGAGACACACTACTAATTTGATAAAACCCTTTAGAGATTTTACATCTCAGAATAATTGACAAAATTTGACAGTGACTAAACTGGCTTTCATGGTGGGTCTTCTTCTATTTTTCTGACTGCATCTTCCCACTTCTTTGCTCATTCACGTGGCTCCAACCCCAGGGGCTGTATCTTTCTAGGTGGGCATGATTGTTGTCAACTTGAAGCAGAACAGCTGTGAGTACTCACACAAAACTGATGAGATTGGGTCTGTCTATCCAAATTCTCTCAGAGGCGGCCCAGGACTTCCCTTAGATTCCAATCCTTGGGAGTTAAGAGGGAGGCAATTTACTGGATAGGCTTTTAGTGGTATAGCTTTCCAAAGACATCCAGAGGACTTCTGGGTAGTATGTGCCTGAGCCACACATACTTCTGTAAGTTACCCCAAAAATTTAATTGTCTCAGGTTGTAACCTTTCTTTGGTCTTCCATCTGGGCTACATAGACATAACTTTGTATCTTCCTAGGAAAAGTAAAACAGTACAGCTTCTTCCTGCTGCTTCCTTTGTTAGTCACCCAAATACTTGTCCTTGCTCCCTAATAGCATTGATCTGCTCTCAGTTAGAACTCTCTTGACCTCATGTCTAAAATCCCCACCCATTCTAAAGCACTTTCTCTCTATACTCATATTTTCCTCCATAGCATGTACTCCTTCTTTGCAGAGTATGTATTTCCATTGTTTGCTTGCTCTGCCTTCTCCAGCAGGAAGTTCCATGATGGCAGCAACTTCTGTCTTTGCTGTTCACTCTATATCCACAGCATCTCAAATGGGTGGAACCCATCATCACATCAAGTGAATATTGTAGAACTACAAATAGCAGGCAGGGTGAAACTACAGGAGGCCGTTCCTTTCATCAACTTTCTTTTAGAGTTTCATCTTTTCTTACTACTCCACCATAAACTCTTAGCAATGTTAAACCTTTATTTTATGCTGCAAATGTTTCCTTTGCTGGTCAGCAAACATTTTTGCTTTGCAGCTTAAAATTTTTCTATCATACTTAGGAAGCCTGTTTTCTTCCAAAAATTATTCAAAAAAATCTCTCTTTTCTTCTATTAAGAAATTTAAGCTTTTATTCTTCAGACATTATGGTACATGCCTTATAATCTCAGCATTTGGGATGCAAAGGCAAAGGTCACCACAAGTTCAGGGCCAGCCTAGGCTGTGTATAGAGAGACTGTCTCAAAAAAAAAAAAAAAAGACAAATAAATAAATGCTAAATTGATATGGCATCTGAACTATTGTAGTTGGTAAGGGGCCCAAGTTCAGTTGCCCCAGAACCCTTTAGTAGGCTATTCTGCTCTTCTGCCAGTTCAGAATGCTGTGTTTCTATGCTGAATGTTCATAGATTTTATGTAAATTTCATCTTTGTTTTCGTTCATCTAGTCTTTCTGTGGCTAAACAATACATTTGAGTATCTTTAAATTATTCTGACATTTAATATTTGTTACCTCTGCTCTTTATGTCTTTCATATCTGAAAACAATCACCATGGTCACAGCAACATTTTTCTGCTCTGGCAATGCTTTGCCTTGTACATTATAGTATTCATTAAACTATGAAAGTCCATGTCAATATGCTGTGAATAAAGTGCCTTTTGTAAAATTGTGACCTGCATTTTCATATTACTAATATCATAAAAACCCATCAGGGGAACTGGAGAGTGGTTAAGATAATTGGCTGTTCTTCCAAAGGACCCAGGTTCAATTCCCAGCACCCAGAAGTCTGCTAACCACCATCCACAACTCCAGTTCCAGGGGATCTGACACCCTGTTCTGGCCTCTCTGAGTTTTGTATGACATGGGTGCACTTACATACATGCATGCAAAACACTCATACATATAAAATAAAAAGTACATAAAATTAAAAAATAAAATCCTATCAGTAGTATAACTTGTTTTACTGTGATGAAAGAATAGTGTCCAACTTTGGGGGCCTTTTTGAGAGCCATCCACAGTAGAGCAAGATTTTGTTCATGATTTGTGCCAATAGCTTTGAGCTATGTATCATAGAAAAATGCAGTGAGCACTGTTTTGCTGTTTTTTGTTTTCTATTTTAGATGTACTTGGTAGTTCACACTCATTTCAATTTATGTTGATTCATCATAGAGCATCATAGCAGTGGCACCCATGCCTTTGGAATGTCTGTGCTTTTTTATTTTAAAATGGTGACAGTAATAGTATTATAATCATTGACTTAGCTCTTATAATTGAATAATCTCTGTAAATCCTAGCATTTGATACGATTTCAGTTGACAGTAGTATGAGTGCTGTGTTTTAACTTAGGCTAAAGCAGCCCCTAGTACTAAAGATTATCTGAAATTCTCAGTGAAGTTTTAGGGAAAGGGTAGAAACCATTTTTCATTTAACTGTTTAACTTGCCTCAATTGGACATGTGGTACCAGCATAGTTCAAGCCTGGCAAGTGCTGAGTGAGTGTAGTCTTTTAGAATGAAACACCATTTTGCTCTGCAAATAGATTTGGAAAAAAATCTCAGTATGTGTTTAAATTAGCAATTTAAGATAGTAAGAACAATTTCCTTTGCTGTTTATCAAACTTTTTAATGAATGCTAGAGTTTGACAGTACAAGTGTTTTCTTCCCGGGAACATGTGCATTTGTGTTTGCTACTCTATGGGAACAGAGTGTACAGAAGAAAGAAACAAGGTGCTATGGAGTGTCTGTAAACACCCGATTCTCATTTTCCTGTCTCACGCTGTCTTTCCTGTGCAGACTCACTCCGAGGAGAGACCTTTCCAATGTGAAGAATGCAAAGCATTGTTCCGTACTCCATTTTCTCTGCAGAGACACCTGTTAATCCACAACAGTAAGTCACAGCCCAGGCAGCTGAGGACAGATGAAGTTACTTCCCATTGTGTTCTTAGACCCAAAAATGCAATATGAGTAACTGGTTAGCTAATCTACCTTAAACATAAAGAGAACTGATCATTATGCCTTACAGCTGCCTTTTTGTCATTCTGATTTTCCTGCACTAAAATAAATTGTTTTCTGAGGTACATTTTTTCAGCTCTTTCCTTCCCAGTATTTATAGTTTGTATATAAAAACATATCCCATATTCAGTAAGCTGTCTTTGAGCTTTGTTTTGAAGCAGACACATTTATTCCCTTTTAGCTAAGATGATTAGGGAAACAAGTCTGCCTCTGTTAAACACAAAGCTGTTTGACGGGACTTTATTAGTGCAAAGGCTTAACTAAGTTGGTGTGGGGCAGAGTTCATATCTAATTTGATACCTCTTTTGAGAGAAACTGAGAATATTGAGACATAAAGGAGCTCAGTTTATGCCATTGGGATCCTGGGCATTGCATCTTAGTGTCTGATAGGTAAGCAATTTTCCTATTTCATGTGTTATTTCTGATTCTTATTTTTCCAGGGAATAGTTTTGATTTTGAATTAAGTTCTACACACACACACACACCTTTTGAGATATCTAATCAATAGAAAATCATACATGTGGGCTAGAGAGATGGCTCAGCAGTTAAGAGCACTGACTGGTTCTTGCAGAGGACCCAGGTTTGGTTCCAAGCACCCACCCACATGGCAGCTAACAATCATTGGTAATTCTAGTTCCAGGGGATCTGACGCCCTCTTTTGATCTCTGTGGGCATTGCACTATGTGGGTACACTTATGTATATGCAGGCAATACACTCATACACATAAAATCAAAATAATAAAAAAAAATTTAAAAAGATCATACATGTAAAGTTCCTATTGCTGCTTAAATACTAAATTTAGAAAACAAGATAACATGGCAAGCAGTTGTACAATGTGGTCCTTTGGAAGAAAGCTTCTCTAGTCAAGTTGAACTGTTTGATATGCAATTTAATATTGATACTAAGGTATTATGCATGGTGGTGGTGATTATGATAAAAAGTACTGCTTCTTGTGGGGAAGATGGTGCTGTGTTCCCAGTACATTCTGTATTCACTTGACAGCTCTGGAGAGCAGTTAGCCCCACTTTCTGTTTCCTCATAAGGAATTTTGTAATTAAGAAATGAAGGTTGTTATGCAACAGCAGAAATTACCATATTATATCACTATAGTTTTTCTTAAGAATAGTAAGTTATGAGACGGGTGGATTTCAGAATAAGGATTTAGACAAGTGAATTCCATTCATCCTTTCAAGATTTATGTGACTGAATTTGGCCTGATGCTGAGGAATCTTTTCTTCAGAAGAATCAAGTTGTATTTCATGTAACAGGAAGGAATTTAAAATGGAAAGAATCTAATACTTTCAATTTTAGCTTATTGGTTCTCATCAACTTTAGAGAAAGGATTGACGCAGCTGTGTGAGTCTGTGCTATGTGCTGTGTATCTAAGATGATGATGATTATTGATTATCACTAAAAAAGGCCATTTGAGGCTGCACTGTGGTGTTTGGCCAGAAAAGTCAGCCTCCATAATTGAGGACCTAAATGAGCAATGTAAGGTGAAGTTAGACTTCAGTGAAGACCAGTGATTTAAGACATTAGGAAAACCAGACTGACTAAAGTAGAGAGAATGAAGTACTAGCTCTTAAATATGAAAGGTACAGCTCACTTAACTTCAGGATATGAAGGCTGTTTTCAGAAATATACATCTGTACCCTAGATCAAAATATAAGTGATCTGTCTAATTACTTTAGAAATGGCTGCTGTTTTCCAATATACTAAAAACCAAAAGGTAGCTTGCTGGCTTAGCTTTTACTTATCAAGGTCTGGAGAAAGTCTGGCAAATCTGATAAAAGCAGCGTTTCAGAATTAAGAAATTCAGATATTTTTACGTAATGGAATCTGGAATTACATATGTGCTGACTAAACTGATTTCACTCTCAGGTGAGAGGACTTTCAAGTGTCACCACTGTGATGCCACCTTTAAAAGGAAGGACACGTTGAATGTCCATGTCCAGGTGGTCCATGAAAGACATAAGAAGTACCGCTGTGAGTTGTGTAACAAGGCATTTGTTACACCTTCAGTGCTCAGAAGCCATAAGAAAGTAAGTGGAAGCCTTGTGAGACTGAATGCATGGTAAATTTAAGGATTATGGGCATAAATGTTAACTATCATATGACAGATTTAATTTATCTACATGATTATTGAATGATAAATGAATGACTTATATTCACTTTCCCAGAAATAAGTTTTCTCGTTTTTTTCAGAATAGCTGTTTTTCCATAAAGTAGAACCTCAAAAGTTAAATGTGTGTTTTATATAACCTTAGCTATACTGATAGGGATGAAAGAATATTCAATAAGAGCTTATCTACTGTTCAGCATTTTGTCTTAATACATTTTCTTTCTTTTGAAACTATGCATAGCACCTCAGTGAGTTAATTTTTATAAATAATTTAAATATTCATTGACAAATTACTAAACTGGGTCTCTGCAGGATTGGTATAGACTGGGTCTTTGCAGGGTGGGTGTAGTAGACTGGGTTTTTGCAGGGTTCGTGTGGTAGACTGGGTCTTTGCAGGGCTGGTGTGGTCCTCCATCTGTGCATCTCTCAGGCACAAGGAAGCTTCTGGTACAGAACTGGGGCTTGATAAGTACTTGATAAGTATTCATTCAGGTCACATTAAATAGTTTTACTTGTGATTTAGAGATTATCTTTTTTGTATTATACTAATTATATATCAAGCAAATGCAGATTTTGCTTTTATACTCACATTAATACAATATACATCATTATAATAAATACATTCAAAATCTATTTTTAATAGTAAAGTTAATATTGTAACAGATGCAGTTGAGGATCCAAAGTGGACTTCAGAAATGACTGTTATGAAGTGTGGCGGTTTTCTGAGCCTATCAGTAGATGACTGCTACAGAGCACATGTGCACAGCTGACTCCCGTGTCATTGCCTTTGACCCAGGGAACTGTCCTTAATATGGCAGCTGCAAAGTGACCAAAAAACTTATTTTCAGGTAGTTTCGGTGCTCAAGAATAATGGAATTGTGTTTCTTTTTAAACTCTGTATAGCTTCATCTTTGAATTTTTTTTGCCTGAGTTACTTTGTTTTATATACATATAAATCTTAGGCTTTCTTCAAGGAGGGTGAATTTTGAAGGGATGCTGTTCGATGCGATAATTCTTTGATTCAGTGATGCGCTCTTCGTTTTCAACTCACTTCTCCAGTGCTGTTCGTGCTGTGAGCTGTGTCCTTGCTTTCTTATTCTTATTTAAGATAGATATTGTACTTTTAGTGTCTTTTGAGTTCATTTATATTTTTAGTTAAACCAAAGGAATTTTTAAATATTTTATTAATATAGATTTACTGTCCTTCAGTTCAAAACTTTTCTCACTAACATGTAGCTTAGGTGGTATAAATAAACAACAAAATGCTTACATAGTAGCAAAAAAAGAAATCCTGTGAACTAAAATACTGCAGGAAAGTTAAGTACCCTGCTTAAACAATCCATTCCTGTAGTGATAGATATATACACTTTCTAAAGAACTTTGCACTAAAGTAGGGATCCCCATGCTTCCTCCTCCTGTCAGGGAATGAGAAGGTAGGCCTGTTTGATATTAAATTTTTATTCTTTTACACTGAACTGCAATGTGGACTCGAGGACTACAGGAGTAGTCCTCCTGCTATTTGTGGGTTCTCTTGTAAGAGAGTTTGTACTGGAAACGTTTAGTCATGTGCTGACTAAGTGCCGAATCAAGGAGACGTCTGCTGTCAACTATGTCAGTAACTAGCCTGGCAGTTGGCTAAGTGGTATTTCTCCAGCTTGTACACTTTATAAATATGTTCAAGAAAAAAAATTCTAAAGGACTTAAATATGTGACATTGACTAATAAATTTATAGTTTAAAACCAAGTAGAATTGTATATATCCAAATATAGATTATAATGTAAATATGCAGATTTATAAATTAAATACCCAGAAGGTTATGCAAATAATTAGATTGAACTTAACTATTAATTTATTATGGAAAACAAGAGCATTTTGTTATTTGTGGGTTCTTTGAAGTTGCCAGCTCGTACAATAACTGCCCCCCCACCATATTTCCCTATCACACTCAGTGTTTTCCCTCTTAAGAACATTCAATTCTTTTAAGAAGTTTTCCTATTCCTTTTCATTGGCTCACATCAACTCAAACAAAAACTTTATAAATAATTTGCATATGAACAAACAGACTTAAACCCTGGAACTCAGTTTTGCAACTCAGATGATACCTGTGTTAATTACCTTTTCTTGGCCCATGACCAAATACCTGACAGAAATAACTTAAGGAAGGAGTTGTTTACTTTATTTGTAAGGATTTAGAGGGTTCAGTCCATGATCACTGTGTCCCCTGTGCTGGGGAAGAACATCATGGTGGTGGGAGCATGTGACAGATAAACTTACACACTGCATTGTGGATAGGAAGCAGAGAGGAAAATGTAGAAAGGACGAGGGCAAGATATATTCCCAAGGACACATCCCATGGATACACTTCCTCTAACTAGGCACCACCTCCTGCCTTTCACCACCTCTTAATAAGGCCATCACATTTGAATCCATCAAGGGATTAATCCATGGATTATGTAACAGCCTTCATGATCTGCTGGTCTCTGTAAATGACATTATACACACCCCTAGAGGTGTTCTTCACTAATGCCCTGGGCAACTATTTATCCAACCAAGTTCATGGTCAAAATCATCCATTATAATGCTCTACCTGCTTTTATTAGTTTTCATGTTATTATTGGAAAAATATTCTCAAAACAATATCATAAAGATCCTCCTGATCCAGACCCTTCCACTACATTTTTTTTGCCTTGTCCTAAGTTTGAAAAACCTTGATATTTCAGAGAGCTCTGTGGCTTGGAGTTCAATTTTCTTCTCCTCCCCTCTTTCCTTCTTTTTTTGTGGGGATTGAACCCAGGGCCTCACGTGTGGTTGGCAAGCACCTACTACTGAGCTGGATCTCCAGTCCTAGTCACCGGCTTATTTAAGCTGTCTTTGCCGACACGTTCTCGCTTTTTCCAATATGACTGTTTTGTGTCTAGATTATAAGTATGTGGAGGGTAGAAATGCTGTTTCCAGTTGACTGCTCAATTAACACCTGCTGCTTTTCCAGGTCGAATTAGATTTATATTCCTTTCTACTTTGTAGTAAAATCAGTCCAGACAAGCATAGCATAAGTAACAGATGACTTTGTTGAGATTAATTCTGCATTCAAAAGTCAAGTACACACGAAGAATGTGAAAAAATGCTTCAAAAGAAGTGTTTCTTGCCATCTGTCAAGAGCAGCTCTGGCCCCATTTTGATTATGTGGTTTTGCTCCCATGCACTGGGTTTCTATAACTTAATCATGTTTAGATGAGGGCTCCATAAAGGCTTAGAAAGTAAACTGCAGAATTATTTTCAAATTAACACTAATGCAGCATTCTAAAGGATTTTTGAACCCATGGGATTGATTATCCATGATAAATTGTTTAAAGTCACATTGTGATATTAAATCATTTTAATGTAACGTAATCCTTGAGAACACGGATTTACTGTTGTCAGAGGCACTTAATCATCTTTACCAAATTCCTTGTATTTATCATCAGCCATTTTTATCCTTTCTGTTTAGACACACACAGGAGAAAAGGAGAAAGTCTGCCCATATTGCGGCCAGAAGTTTGCCAGCAGTGGGACCCTGAGAGTTCACATCCGGAGCCACACAGGTATGGAGAGTGGACTGGCTCTGAAGCATCTGAGAAGTGTTAGAACAGATAGGTCTGCTGTGTCCAGAACAGTTCCCAAGTCCAGTCAGCCTCCCTAAAGGTCTGTGAAAGCCAGTTCTTTACTTGAGAAGAATTTTGAATAATAGAGAAAATTTCAAATTAAATAAAATACTGAAGTTGAAATATTTTATATTTGTGATTGAGATATATGTGTGATTTACCTTATGTAGGATTTTAATGGACAGAATAAATAGTAACAGTCTCACTTTTTATAGAAAACTAAAGACATCCTCTTAATGATTCCTGTAGCTCACACCAAGTGGAGCCTTGATAAACTTTTCAAGAATTTCTACTTGAATGCTGTAGGAGTTTATTGGGTATGAGTATGTAGGGATGGTCTTGTCTGCTGTTTCCTACTGTTTCCTCTGCAATTTATCCAACTAAAGAGCATTAATATACCTATGGAAGAATGGATGAATAGCTCATTCTGGAAGGATCCTTGTCCATATTTTATCTATTAAGTAGATAAGTACTCGAAAAAAGACTTGAAATAATAATTCTACTATCTAAATAATTTTATACTCATATGACTTTTTCCCCCACTAACCAGACTGTTTTAAATTGAATTATATAGCTGAAACTTTCTACTCAAAGCCATAGTATGCAACTTTGAAAAAAAGATCTTTGTATTTCCTGTACAAAGTATCTAGAATAATAACTGTGTTGTGATTTTGAAATGTTTGTTTAAGTAGGTCAAAGAATTGATATTCTGACTTTAGAGATACATGAAGGAAAAGACAATAGTGAATATATATATATATATATGTATATATATATATATATATATTATTTTGAAAAGCTTGTGACCAAAGCTAAAAGACATGCAGTTAACTTAGTATCTTAGAACAGTCATTTATGTATTTGTAATTGTCACACATAACCAAGAATAAATCAGACATTATCTGTTATGGCTGTGGAGACCAGGAGTTTTACAGAGAGATGTCTGAGAAAGTAAGTCTTTTAGGACAAAATCCAAGGGTGTTAAAGAAATAGGCAGTTAAAGAGGAGAGAGCCAAAGGCAAAGGGCAGCAGAAGGCCACATTGGGAACATGTCTGCACCATGTGAAACATGTGCCCTAACATATTGCCTGGTCTGTCTGCACCATGTATAACATGTGTCATAAAGTAGTGCCTGTGGCTGTCTCTACCACACTGATTTGTTGTGCTCTAGAAGGGAGGTACAGCTGACTAGAGAAGGACTTCTCAAGCTGGGCCAGTGCTCTACTCAGGTAACATCGAGGTCCTTGGGCACCCCCTTTGTATATTTGGGGCTCTTTGAAGTTAGGGTCTGGCAACAGCAATAGTGAAATCAACAGTCTTCTTTGTGTCAGTCATTCTTAGTAGACATTGTTGTGCCACACTGAGAATGTAATTACAGTGTGTTCAGCAGTTTTCATGTCTGCATGGTTATGGGTGGGCAGTTACAGGGAAAGTGTTAGGTTTCCATATTAGAGTAAAGAACCTAGTAAGCCCTGCCTTGAGATGTGTTGTTGTTATTGAATCATGCTTGGTGCAGTGTGTTTTTAAAAGACATGGTCTTAGGGGGCTGGAGAGATGGCTCAGCTGTTAAGAACACTTGCTGTTCTTCCAAAGGATTCCCAGCACCCACAAGGTGGGTAACAACTGTCCATAACTTCAGTTTCAGGGGATCTGACACCCTCTCATGGCCTCTGCAGACTTTGTACAACACAGTACACTTACACACATGCAGGCAGAACACTCATACACATAAAAAATAATAAAATATTTTTAAAAGAAAATAAAAGACATGGACTTACAATGTTTAGAATACATTAAGGCATAGGTTCCAGCATGGCAAAGATAAACCCCATCAGTTAGAACTCTTGATTATTCAGAATAATTCCATCCTTGACAGTTCCGTGTGCTTATTTTGTTCATAGAAAGGATGAAGCACTCACGTTAGAAATTGCACTGAAAGTTTTAAGTATTATCATCTGCAAATCTGTACAAGAGAATTTTTGAAATGCAGGAATATGTGCTAAGGATAGTAAATGTCACATATCCCGTTAACTAATAATATATTTCTTATTATGTATAACCCACCTAAAGAATATTCTAAAATCCAAGTCATTTTATATATGATGCAATTTATTAGGTACCTGACTCTGTGCCAAATTGAGCCACAGTGAGCCTAGAAGTTTGTTGTATAGTAGGTTTTGTACACACACACACACACACACACACACACACACACACGAAGAAAAGAAATGCAATAGGTGTGTCTATCCAAATGGCTATGTAACTGCTTGTTTATGTCGTCATGTTCTTACAATCAGATCTTTCTGTTTAGACTCAGACCTGTTTCATAGTCCCACTTTACAGTATTGCTTTGTGTATTTGGATTCTGGTGGCCGGTGTTGGCTTCCAAAGCAGTCTTGACAAGGGTTTCTCCTCCTGTGTGGATAAACAGTGTATTGCGTCTCTTCCACCTGCTTTGTCCTATTACACAAATGACGAGCATCCCTTTCTCTGACTGGGACCTGGCCCATTGAGCACATGGCCTCTGTGGGTGTTTTGCTGTTCTGACAGTTAGAGCTCTTATCAAGTTTTACATACTTAGTTTTTCTCTGCCTTTACTTTTATTTTTCTCTATGAAGTCGTATGGTTTTATTCAGCCTTTTCCTAATGCTAAGTTTAGCAATTTGTGGTTGTCCTGGATCACCGAAGCAAAGAGTTATATGTTATTTAGGGATTGCACAGTGAAGTAGCAAGAACCAAGAGTAAAAATGATGCCTTGTCAGAAAGGGCACCAACATAACCCTGTGGAGTGGGGTGCACTGGCTCAGCAGTGTGCCCTGGATCAGCAGTGCACCCTGGATCAGCAGTGTGCCCTGGATCAGCAGTGCACCCTGGATCAGCACTACACCCTGGATCAGCAGTGCACCCTTGAGCAGCAGTACGCCCTGGATCAGCATTACACCCTGGATCAGCACTACACCCTGGATCAGCACTATGTCCTGGATCAGCAGTGCGCCCTGGATCAGCACTACGCCCTGGATCAGCACTATGTCCTGGATCAGCAGTGCGCCCTGGATCAGCACTACACCCTGGATCAGCAGTGAGCCCTGGAGCAGCAGTACGCCCTGGATCAGCACTACGCCCTGGATCAGCAGTGCACCCTTGAGCAGCAGTACACCCTGGATCAACATTGCACCCTGGATCAGCACTACACCCTGGATCAGCAGTGCGCCCTGAAGCAGCAGTACGCCCTGGATCAGCATTACACCCTGGATCAGCACTATGCCCTGGATCAGCACTACACCCTGGATCAGCAGTGCGCCCTGGAACAGCAGTACGCCCTGGATCAGCAGTGCACCCTGATCAGCAGTGCACCCTGGAGCAGTAGTGTACCCTGGATCAGCACTACACCCTGGATCAGCACTGCACCCTGGATCAGCACTACACCCTGGTTCAGCAGTACTCAGCAATGCCTTCTCACTTGGCCTCACCACTTAAGTACACTCTAAAAATCCTGAGAGACCCCAGGGAGCTTTTGTTTATGCTTGTAGCTGTTGACTACACCAGCAGTTTAAGCATTTTGTCTTGTTAGAAGATGTGAAAATATTTATTTTGTTGAAAATAGCAATAGGAAGACTTTTCCATGTTAATATATTTTACAGAAAATAACTACATTTCCAACATCACTTTTGTTTTCTGAAGATCTGTACTGTCTGGTTTAAGAGGCAAGCAGCTAATTGTTCAGATATGTCTCCTCATTCATCCTGCAGCATGTAATTTTGGTTTCAGAATTTGAAATGAATCTTATAGAGATTTTTTAAATAGTTTTGATGTCATAATGAAATAATTTGGGGGCATTATTTGTTGCTTGACTAAAAAAAGGTTTTTAAAGAAAAATGTTGTGTGGAACATAAAATTATTTCAGTGAACTCCCCCTCTTCTGTGACTTTAAAAATCTGTGTTGCATTTGGAATGATCTTCCACCCATGAATGATTCTGTACCATGATGCACAGGAAATTCAGAAAATATTCTGTCACATTTGCTAACGCATCACTGAGCTCTTCAGTCTGCCAATTCTGAAGCACAAAATTATACAAAATTCCATGGTCACTAGTCTGTTTCGTTTTTGTATTTTGTAACAAATATTGTCATACTATCATTCCTCCCTCCTCTTCCCTTCATTCTTTTGTTCTTTTGTTTTATATTAAAAATGTTCCCCAAATAACCTGTTTTAATAGCCACACTTTGCCAGTCATTTTGCTTTCTGTGAGAAGCGTGTGCTATGAAAAAGCTGCAAGCTCACCCTCTGACTCCACCTCACGTGCCTTTCTGAGACGCTCTCATACAGTAGAGTGCATTACAAGTGCTTTCCACTCAATTCCCATTTTATCATGAAGAATATTAAAAAGATGACACTCAAGAAATAGGATTTAATAAAATTAATCATTTTTTATTTCATCAAAGATACTTTCAAGTGAAACTGTCATTTCTAGTGTGAATATGTGGCTGTGATGAACATAGTGACTAGTGTTACAGTTTGAGCCCATTGGTCTATTTTTTTTCCCCATAATTAATTGTACTGTTGATGTAATGTCACCATGCTGGAAAAGGTAGAAACAATAGTGCTGTAATTGAAGTATTCCCTACCTTGTGGACTTTGTATGAAAGTGTCTTAGGGATCCCCAGGGATCCACAGGCTATATTTTGAGAGCTAAATATCTAGATAGGCCTCCCATGACAAATACCTATGAAAAAGTGTGTGTGAGTGCATACCTGTGTGTGTTTGAGTATTTGAGGGAAGGGAGCCTGGAAGAGGCAGAGAAGATGGTGTTGAGTCATGCTATAAGGACCCAGACCACAGGGCCCTTCATATAACTGGGACCATTGTACTAACAGGCTGTCCAGACGGGTATTTTTTCCAGAAATTTACCTAACTTTCTTGAAAATAAATTCTCCCCTT